ATATCTGGAGAAAACCACAATTTGAAAAGATACATGCACCATGATGTTCAAGACAGTACTATTTCCAACATCAAGATGTGGAACCAACCTAACGTTCATGGTTAATGGATGAAGAAAATGTGGTACATACATACAATAGAAATTTACTTAGCCATATAAAGAAACAGTACCATTTGCAGCAACATGGATGGACCTAGACATTATCTTACAAAGTGAAGTAAATCAGAGAAAGATAAATATATGATATCAATTATATGTGGAATCTAAAAAAGTATATAAATGAACTTATTTGCAAAACAGAAATAGACTTGCTGACATGAAGGTAGGAGGAGGGATAAATTAGGAGTTTGGGATTAACAGAAACACAGTAGTATATAACAAATAGGTAATCAGCAACGGCCTACTGTATAGCACAGGAAACTCTACTCAGGATTCTGTAATAACTTTTTGGGGAAGAGAATCTGGCAAAGTATAGATTTAGGTATATGTATAATTGAATCACTTTGCTGTACAGTTGAAACTAACACAACCTTGTAAAAGAGCTATATTCCAATATAAAATAAAATTCAGAAACAAAACAAAAATCACCAGTAGGCCTCATAAGAGTCAAGAAATCACATCTGACAAATCTCTGCTTTCTCTGTGTAAGAATTAGTCAGAAATTACAGGAAGTTGTGAGGAAAATTATTCCAAGTCACCCTTTGCATTCTGCTCACTCCTCAAGGATCTCTTGGGATGGGTCCCGTTGGCAGAATTTCTAGTACTGAATAGGCAGATGGGCAGACCTCCAGTGTCCACTGGTTCTCTCCTGGCATAGGCACAATCTACCGTGCTATAGGATCCCATGTGCAATGACACATTGTCCTTTCATCTCCCAACTTGCCGATGGGGAGATAGTCCTCCCTTGTTGGTTACACTTGCTCCTTTTTGCCTGTTCTAGAGAGACTCCCCACTAATGAGCATGATTATTCAAACACCTTTTAAAGAGCACTAGAAAAGTTTCTTTAGGAGAGCCATGTACCTACCCTGTGTTCCTGAATGGCATTTCACCCATCACAGGAAGGCATTTCCTACTGTGACCCAGATATGTGTGCACTTGAACATTCTTCAGGTCTTTTGCACCAGGCCCCCAGACCCTATGCCCCTGGGATCTTCCTCCTGGCTCTGCCCCCAGGCTACTGTGCCAGTGGGGTGCTCTTCTGCTCCTCCATCCACTGACCTCCTCCATCCAGAACTTCAATGGTGTTGGTCTCTGCTCGTTCCCACCCTGTCTCTTTTGGAAGTTCTTCTTAGTCTCCTTTGTGAGTTTTCTGTTTCCACACATCTTCAACATCTATTGAATTTGGGGTTTGGCTTTTTTGACTCTTTTTCCTGTTAGGTGAGCATTTTCTGGTGGAGCTTATGCCCTTAGTGGTTTGCACTGTTACCTGAATGCCAGGATTGCCCACTTCTGTCTCTGCCAGTCTCACCTTCCTCAGATCATGCATGTCAATGCCCTAGCCTCCACATACTTGATGGATCCCTCACACTCAAGATGCTCTACCTGGATTACATCCATTCTGCAGTGCTGGGGTCATCTCCTTGCTGGGTCTCCAGACATGTTTCTATCCTCAAATTACACCATGATATTTAGTAGAACATTCAGTAGTTTTACTTTAGACACTTAAAGAGAATTTCTTTGAAGTAATTGTATCAGTGGGGTTCAAACCAAAATTGTTTCTTGAATTACCCTGCTACAATCCAGTTGAATGTTTTGACTTTCACAAAGCTAGCCTGACAGCTTCATCCCTAGAAAATGGAATTGGTGGGCCAGGAGACAGATATCCCTTAAATATATGTAGTTTATTAGGCTCTGGATGTTCTAATCTGATTCTGAGAGATCCTTGATTATTTTATATGCCTCAGCATTTGACCACTTACTCTATCAAATGAGGACATTGTGGAAAATTAAGAAGAAAGCGGCTTAGTGTAGTCAAAATGAGGCTGAGAGGGAAGGGAAGAAACAGAACTAGTACTTTGCAAGAAAGGGCTGCCTTTAAGTACTGCACTGATGTAAGCATGACAGTAGGTAGTTTTGTTACTGAGTATATTAAAGAGACAAGTCTAGGAAATTGTAGCGACATGTAAAAACAGCAAGGAAGCCCTGACACATGCACCTAACAAGCTTAGAAAACATATATGCAGCCTATTGTGCGTGCACCTGCCTGTGTTTTTTAATTTTCAGTTTGGATTTTTCCATTCTATATTGTTCTTACTTAAAAAATCTACTCATTACAATTCTAGAAGCAACCAAATACTTCTTTTCAACACTGTGTTATTTTCGGTGTGGAGGCCTTTCCAAGATCCCTTTTGTCCTTTTCTTTCTCACTTCATCCTTTTCATCTGATTTTTCCTTCATCTGCTCCATCATTTCTAATGGGAGAAAAATTAACAGTTTTGTTACAGGTTTTCTTTAGTATCCAAAAATAGAGCTTTCCCATATAAACTTTCAGAAGTCAAAATGGCATAGAGTGAGAAAACAATCACTTATTTTCCTAAAAGCAAAAATCTTCTTCAGATTTCTTCCTTAGTGAAAACAGGTGTTAATGTAGGTCTTTTGTAAAAGCAAAGTGGCATAAAATGAAATTTCAAAAAATGGGGGAAACCTGTATTGTGTTCCAAAGGGACTCATAAATATTCAGGATATAAGTACTTAGGCCTTCATGAGCTCCTCCCTCCAAAAAATATTAATTACATTTCATGACTGAATTCATACACAGGAAATACATTAATATATTTTAAGCTATCTTCTTTGACTCAAAAGTTTCCTACTTTGTTCCTGATTTAAAACAAATGAAGTGATTTTCATTTAAAAAGTGTTTTGGACATTTTTTAAAAAAGATATTTGGGGCATGCATTCTAAACACACAACATCCACGGTGATATCCTCAGAAACACGGTGAATTCTAATGGCTGTTGAAAGCATGCCATGAGTCCCAGCTCTTCATAGATTTCCCTGCTATCTGTATACGATCAGCCTCACATAATTCCATCTGTCATTCAGATGCTATTTTCAAGGGCAGCCACTGGATGTGCAGATAAACTGCAAGAGATTAAGAACTTTAGATCATTGTACACTGGCAAGCCTAAATTTTCACACAACTTACTAATGGTTGTAAGTTGTGATAATGGTTTCTAAGTTGTGTTTTATCTTTAGCAATGTTATAAGTGGTTTCAGGTCTTTTCTGGAAATGAGGGGTACAAATAAGTAAATTTTAATAAACAATAATTTGTTGTTCAGTATCTGACTCTTTGAGACTCAATGAACTATAGCATGCCGGTCCTCCCTGTCCTTCACCATCTCCTGGAGTTTGCTCAAACTCATGTCCATTGAGTCAGTGATGCTACTCAACCATCTCATGCTCTGTTGCCCCCTTCTCCTCTTGCCCTCAATATTTCCCAGCAACAATAATTAATATTCAATTCACTCCTTCCAACTCAGGCCTTTAGAAGATGACCTTCCTGACTGCTGCCCTGGGAATGGTCTCTCAAGTTTGTCACTAGTGTCCCTGGCACCTACTCTCTTTACATCCCATTCACCCCACTGGTCCTGCCTGGGAGTCTCCCCCAATGTTCTGTCATTGTGCCTCTGACCCTGTTTTGTGGACCAGTGGTTCAGGAGTTCCTGCCAGTGAGAAACTGGTTCTCGCAACCCAGTTCATGGGGACAACAATCTAATCTGTCCTGCGAGGGTCTCAGAGGGTGTCACCTGTATTTGCTGAAGGTTTAAGCACAGTGAAAACGAAAGGGAGAAACTGACCAATATCATTGCTGACTTATTCCCTTACAAATCAACCTAGTGGAGATTTCATCCAACAACAAAAATATCCTCAGCAGCTGACTGTGGAAAAGAGCCCAGAGACAGGCAAAGGATTGTGAGGGGAGGAGAGGGCTCCTGCCTGGGGCCCTTGGGGCTGGTTGGGACCGCCTGGGGTTCTTCAGTGCTGATGGCCACTAGGTGACCTGTGGAGGACTGTGCTTCCCAGGCATGGCAATGCTCTTTCATATCGATAGCACTGACTTAAATGAAGTATTTAAGAAAATGCAATTTACCTTCAAATAGATGAATATTGCCTCATAGTCTTTTATTTTCTTTTTTTTTCCATTTATTTTTATTAGTTGGAGGCTAATTACTTTACAATATTGTAGTGGGTTTTGTCATACATTGACATGAATCAGCCATGGATTTGCATGTATTCCCCATCTCGATCCCCCCTCCCACCTCCCTCTCCACCCGATCCCTCTGGGTCTTCCCAGTGCACCAGCCCCGAGCACTTGTCTCATGCATCCAACCTGGGCTGGTGATCTGTTTCACCCTAGATGATATACATGTTTCGATGCTGTTCTCATGAAACATCCCACCCTCGCCTTCTCCCACAGAATCCAAAAGTCTGTTCTGTACATCTGTGTCTCTTTTTCTGTTTTGCATATAGGGTTATCATTACCATCTTTCTTTTAAAGTATAGTTCATTTACAACATTGTGTAAGTTCCAGGTGTATAGCAAAGTGATTCAGTTATATATATATACTGCTTCAGGTTCTTTTGCCTTATAAGTTATCATAAAATACTGAGCATAGTTCCTGGTGCTATAACAACAGGTTATTGTCGGTTACCTATTTTACATATAGCAGTGATAGTTCTATGTTTTGTCTCCCTCTGTCCTGTTTCACCAGATCCCAGGGGACATGTCAGTGTAGTGGTGAAGTAGAACCAGCTAAGGTTGGGATAAGATGTGATGACCTGTTTTTGTTTCCTTCCAAGGTTGCTTGTCATTCAGGTAATAATTGGTTTTTTATTATGAAAGAAACAAATCCTGAATGTTTGCAAAACTGCGGTGAAGAGTGCCTCTTCTGTGGGCTTTGTGTAGCTTCCCCAGCCCTTGATCTCAGGCTTCCCTGGGCCCTGCCATGAGGATGTGCCTGTGCTGCCTGTGGTTTCACGTCTCCTTTCCTGTTTCCAGGGTCTGGACTTCGCTGGGTTTACAGCACACATGTTTGCTGGGATTTGCTTCGTTCTCTTGTTCTCCTTTCCACTCCTCAGACTCCTTTACTGGAACAAAAAGCTCTATAACAAGGAACCCAGTGAGATCGTTGGTGAGTAGAAGCACCTCCTCATACAGCTTCAGAGTTTACTAACACAATATTATTTTCTGGGGGAGGTTGCCACAAAAAGGCAGGAGGATAATGCCATGTAGAATACCAGAGAAGTATCCGTCATTGGGATACTAGCATGTCCCCGTCTGCCTCCTTGTAGGCAGTGCACTTTCAGGGACTTTAAATCCATGAACTGTGCCTCTAGTTTTCTATAGAATGAAATGTTTACATGGGGGAAGCAATGTGCACTGCATACAGTTTGCATGTCATGATAGCATTGAACCACCTGTATTTAGTACAAATAGCAGAGCATATAGACTGTATTCTATATTTTTGAGCCACTCTGTTGCTTCATGTCCAGTTCTAACTGTTACATTTTGTGCTGCATATGGGCTTCTCAGGAGGCAGGTAAGGTGTTCTGTTATTCTCATCTCTTTAAGACTATTTCACAGTTTGTTGTGATCCACACAGTCAAAGGCTTTATTGTAGTCAATGAAGCAGAAGTAGATGTTATTTTGAAAATTTTCTAAATCCAGCTTGTACATCTGGAAGTTCTCAGTTCATGTAGTACTGAAGCCTAGCTTGAAGGATTTTGAGCATAATATTGCTAGCATGTGAAGTAAGTGCAATCAATTCCCATTTCTGTATAAATGGCTGGGAATCTAAGTGTGTTCTCACTAGCATTCTGCTCATCAGATGGTGACTTTACAAGGTAGATGTGCCTTTCTTTCCTGCGTGACTTTTGTGTTCAGAATTTAACTGTTTTTGTTCTAACTAGGAAAATGTCATATACACCTTCTCAAGTCATCTATATAAAACCAGCTTGTTCCTAGGAGAATTGAATCACCCACCTATACCAGATAAATGGGATGATAAGCAGAAATATCTATGCTAGACCATATTTATTGATTGCACAAAAATTGGAGTGCCCTTGTAAATATAAAAGCAGTACTTTAAATACAAGCAATAATCAGGGATTTCCTGGGCAGCCTCTTGGCCTAGCCCTTAGTGAAGGCTATATAGTTGCAAGATAAGTGGGGCAGCTCGTGTGGACATAGGAATGGGCCTCACCAAAGAAGCTCAAAACTATGGGGGGTGGTTCCAGTATGGGGGCTGGAGGGAAGGAAGGGGACACAGACACAGATGCCAGGGGCCAAATGGAATAGTCTTTTTGTCTGCTTCCAGGGCCATGGAAGCTTCCTGCCATGTAACATAGTTAACTTCGTTTAGGAAGAATGTGTTTTCTTAGTAACATTGATAATTACTCACCCTGGTGGTTTGCAGAGCAGAGTATGTGATTTTCTTGAGAAAAAAGAACATATTCATGTTCATGGCTTCCCAGGTGGTGCCAGTGGTAAAGAATCCACCTGCCGATACAGGAGACCCAACTGACATGGATTCAATTCCTGGGTCAGGAAGATTCTCTGGCATAGAAAATGTCAACCCATTCCAGTATTCTTGCCTGAAAAACTGTCTTTAAAAGCTTGCGTGGGCACACTTGCACCTCCTTCCTCCCCAATATCCCTCCACCTCGCTGGTGATCAGAATTACTTAGAAATAATCATTATATATACAGATTATCAGGCCCACACCTAGGAAATCTGTGCTGTGAATAAACTCTTCTGGAGAGTCCTATCTTGAGATTAACATGGACATACTGATTTGGAAACATAAAAAAAAAATCTGTGTATTGACTCCCCCACTCATCATGAATAAGGAGCTGAGGGAAGCTTCGAGGGAAGTGGGATAGAATGGTTGGGATATGGATAGTGCTGGAACCCTATGGTAATGGCAACATAGGCTGTACATCAGCACACAGTGAACTGTGCAGATCCAGAGAAATAGCCATTATTGGGTATAGGGATCTCTGATTTTGAATTGCTTGGTATAACTACAGATTCCTAAGCCTTACCCCAGAGATTTGGGTTCAGCAGGTCTCTGATGTGTCCAAGACATGTCAGAATAGGCTTGGCTATGCTACAGTTTGAACATTCTTTAGCATGGCCTTTCTTTGGGACTGGAATGAAAACTGAACTTTTCCAGTCCTGTGGTCACTGATGAGTTTTCCAAATTTGCTGGCTTACTGAGTGTAGCACTTTAACAGTGTCATCTTTTAGGATTTGAAATAGCTCAACTGGAATTCCATCACCTCTACTAGCTTGGTTCATAGTGATGATTCCTAAGGCCCACTTGACTTCACATTCCAGGATGTTTGGCTCCAGTTGAGTGATCACACCATCATGGTTATCTCGGTCATGAAGCTCTTTTTTGTATAGTTCTTCTGTGTGTTGTTGCCACCTCTTAATATCTTCTGCCTCTGTTAGTTTCTGTCCTTTATTGTGCCCTCCTTTGCATGAAATATTCCCTTGGTATCTCTAATTTTCTTGAAGAGGTTGCTAGTCTTTCCCATTCTATTGTTTTTCTCTTTTTCTTTGCATTGATCACTGAGGAAGGCTTTCTTATCTCTCCTGGCTATTCTTTGGAACTCTGCATTCAAATGAGTATATTTTTCCTTTTCTCCTTTGCCTTTTGCTTCTCTTCTTTTCTCAGCTATTTGTAAGGCCTCTTCAGACAACCATTTTGCCTTTTTGTATTTCTTTTTCTTGGGGATGACCTCCTGTACAATGTCCTGAACCTCCATCCGTAGTTGTTCAGGCATTCTATCAGATATAATCCCTTGAATCTATTTGTCACTTACACTATATAATCATAAGTGATTTGATTTAGATCATACCTGAATGGTCTACTGGTTTTCCCTATTTTATTCAATTTAAGTCTGAATTTTGCAATAAGTAGTTCATGATCTGAACCACAATTAGTTCCTGGTCTTGTTTGCTGACTGTATAGACTAACAAAGTAATGCTCAAAACTCTCCTGCATAGACTAGCAAAGTAAGGCTCAAAATTCTTCAAGCAAGATATCAACAGTACATGAACTTCCAGATATTCAAGGTGGATTTAGAAAAGGCAGAGGAACCAGAGATCAAATTGCCAGCATCTGTTGGATCCTCGAAAAAGCAAGAGAGTTCCAGAAAAACATCTACTTCTGCTTTAGTGATTACACCAAATCCTTTGATTGTGTGGATCACAACAAACTATGGAAAATTCTTCAAGAGATGGGAATACCAGACCACCTTTCCTGCCTCCTGAGAAATTTGTATACAGGTCAAGAAGAAACAGTTAGAACTGGACATGGAACAATGGACTGGTTCCAAATTGGAAAAGGAGTATGTAAAAGCTGTATATTGTCATTCTGCTTATTTAATTTATATGCAGAGTACATCATGCAAAATGCCAGGCTGTATGAAGCACAAGCTGGAATCAAAACTCTCAGGAAAAATATCAATGACCTCAGATATGCAGATAACACCACCCTTATGGCAGAAAGTGAAGAAGAACTAATGAGCCTCTTGATGAAAGTGAAAGAGGAGACTGAAAAAGTTGGCTTAAAACTCAACATTCAAAAAATTAAGATCATGGAATTCGGTCCCATTGTTTTATGGCAAATACATGGGGAAAGAATGGAAACAGTGAGAGACTTTATTTTCTTGGGCTCCAAAATCACTGCAGATGGTGACTGCAGCCATGAAATTAAAAGACCTTTGCTCCTTGGAAGAAAAGCTATGACAAACCTGGACAGCATATTAAAAAGCAGAGTTACTACTTAGCCAACACAGGTCCATCTAGTCAAATCTATAGTTTTTCTGGTAGTCATGTATGGATGTGAGAGTTGGATTATAAAGAAAACTGAGCACCAAAGAATTGGTGATTTTGAACTGTGGTGTTGGAGAAGACTCTTGAGAGTCCCTTGGACTGCAAGGAGATCCAACCAGTCCATCCTAAAGGAGATCAGTCCTGTGTGTTCATTGGAAGGACTGATGCTGAAGCTTGAAGCTCCAAGCCATCTGATGAAAAGAACTGACTCACTGGAAAAGACCCTGATGCTGGGAAAGACTGAAGGCAGGAGGAGAAGGGGATGACAGAGGATGAAATGGTTGGATGGCATCACCGACTCAATGGGCATGAGTTTGAGCAAGCTCTGGGAATTGGTGATGGATAGGGAAGCCTGGCTGCTCTGCAGTCCAAGGGTCACAAAAAGTTGGACATGTTTGAGCTACTGAACTGAAGTGAACTAATACCACAATAAGTAGCCCTGAAATCTTAGTAAGCCTACTTCATGTTGGCCTAATGTCCACTGTGGGATCACAGTGCTTTCTGTTCAGTAGTTCTCAGAGCCGTGAGCTGCTGGTCATCTAGAGACCAGAGAGAACCATATGTTCCACTCTGCCACTGAATGACTCAGCTCCTCCTGACTATCACCAGGCTCTGCCAGTTGCAGGGGCTGGGCTGAGTCAGCCTACCAAGTGATCAGCATGGGAGAGAATTTGACTTACTAATTGAAAAGCACAAACAATTACCAGAGTCATGATGACCCCTCTGGTCATCAAATATCAACACATGATGCTTTTTCCTAAAATTTTAATAGAATTTTTTATATTTGTGTACATTAGGGATATTTGTGTGTAATATCCTCTCTTAAAATATATACTTTTTGCTGTCCTCAAAAGATTGAATATATAAGTATACCCTCCTCTTCAGCTTTTGGGAAGAGATGGTGTAAAATTGCTATTATATTTTACCTTAAATATTTGCCAGGATATTTTAGAGTTGAACCTCCTTCTCTCCCTCCTTACACCCCTGTCTCCCTTGATTTCTTCTTCCCTCCCTCCCTCTCTCCTTCCCTTCTAGTTTTTTAATTACAAGTACTGATTCTTTAATAGATAAAGGCTAGCTATTAAGGTTATCTCTTTCTTCATAAGGGCCACTGGTGGTTTCCACCTTTATTTATTTATTTATTTATTTTTTGAGCTGGAGAACTCAGGTTTATTATGCTGGTGGGCCCAGAGGAGTTCACACTTCAAGCTCTGAGCCCCGAGCTGTTTCCACCTTTAAAGGAATTTGTTCCTGTACAAACTCAGTTGTTGAAAGAATTATTCTAAA